TCGTTCCCAAAGCGGAGAGCATCATCCAGGAATCTCCAGTGACGCACGGCGCACGTAACCAGCCCATACAGGAGCGCACTCTGCTCTGCTATGCTCTGCTCTCCTCCCCACCCCACACCTCCCGCGCGCTCATCCCCGCTCGGAACACACTTCACACGGCATACATGATGATGCCAGCTCCGGCAGCGGTCCCCCGGGCACCGGCGCGCGCGTATTTTCACGAAAACATCCACGCGTTTTGACGATACCCGTGCGTCAAAGCGCGAGACTGAAAACCGTACATTTTCAGCTCGTTTTACGCGTGATTTCAACTTTTTATCAGCGGATTTCGTGGTGCATTGCGATAAATTTTGCTAAAAATGTATGTCTACGTGCTGAAATTGTGTTTATAAGTAAAATAATATGTGGCTTTAACGCGGTGGAAACGTAAATCTCGTCGTTCCACCGCGTTTCTGACCCGTGCAGAGAGTGAAGTTCGCACCTTTGGCGTGAGGAGGTGACCCAAATAAACTCCGAAGTGTGAGCCGTGGACTGTGAGCGGCCTCTAGCGGACGTCTGGACGAACTGCACACTGAGCTGCGTGTGTGAGTTTGTTTCAATCCACTTTATTTCTGTCGCACATTTCACAAATAAACAGTTTCCAAAGTGCTGCACAAATACATAATAATAACAACAATAATAAAATGATAAAATAAACAACTAAAATAATCATACTAGCCTTAAAATAATAAAAACTGTAAAATAAAATATGAGTAAAATCTAATAAAACCAATAAAAAAAAATAATAAAAATAAACTAAAATAAATAAATAAAAGAGGAGCACACAACTCAGGAGGTGTTAAAAGTCAGAGAATAAAAGTGGGTTTTAAGACGAGACTTAAAACTCTCCACTGTGGGTTCGGTTCGGACGTGGGGGGGCAGAGCGTTCTAGTTCTAGTTCTAGTTCTAGTTCTAGTTCTAGTTCTAGTTCTAGTTCTAGTTCTAGTTCTCGTAATCTAGTTTTTTTTTCCAGTTAAGACAACTGGCCAAAATTAAGCCTATTTTGTCAACGCCAAACTTCGAAACTGTCATACATGCATCTGTGACGAATAGATTGGATTATTGTAATGCTCTTTATGTTTGTGTGAGCCAAAATGCAACTTTGCCGTTTGCTGTGGGTAAAATAGGACTAAACCAGAACTAAACCAGGACTAAAGCAGAACTGAAACTCCTCTGGATAAACTGAACTGAAAATAATTTCACAAATACACCTAGAGAATGAAATTTTATTCATATAAAACACATTTCACATGTAAAAGTACGAGTAGTACTTAAAAAAAACATGACACAAGTAAAAGTATAAAAGAAGTAGTCCAAGAAATTACTAGTAGAATAAAAAAGTATTTAGTAACTGTTAACACCCCTCGATTCTGGAACCAGTCGCCGTTAGAGATCAGAGGCCGAGTCTGTACCTGTTTTTAAACTCCTCACTCCTAAACAGTGTTGAGGAGTAACAGATTACATGTACCGGAGTTATGTAATCAGAGTACTAATGATGAGTAACTGTATTCAGTTACAGTTACTGTTTCAGTGAGTGGTAATTGGATTACAGTTACTTTGTTGAAATAAATGGATTACACAGAGGGATTTTCCTGTTTTCACATTTTGGGCTATTCCTTTTTTTTTCCTTCGGTAATTCCACTTAACGCTGAACACTAAACCAGGACTAAACCAGGTCTAAAACCAGGTCTAAACCAGGACTAAACCAGGTCTAAACCAGAGCTAAACCAGGTCTAAACCAGGACTAAACCAGGACTAAACCAGGTCTAAACCAGGTCCAAACCAGGTCCAAACCAGGTCTAAAACCAGGACTAAACCAGGTCCAAACCAGGTCCAAACCAGGTCTAAAAACCAGGACTAAAACCAGGTCTAAACCAGGTCTAAAACAGGATTTAACAGGACTAAATCCTGCTGCGTGGCCCGTGTTTCCTCTTCTTCTATCAATAATATTTTTAATTTGGTTCAGTAAAATCTGGGCTTTTTTATTTTCTTTTATCAGACAAAACTTCTTATGTTACGATTTCCTCGTCTTTGCTTCTCTACAGCAAATCAAGTAATCCAAAGTATTCAGATTACGTTACTCACTTTAAGTAATTTAATGGATTCTGTTACAAACTACATTTTGGGGTATGTAATCTGTAATCTGTAGGGGATTACATTTTAAAAGTCACCTTCCCAACACTGCTCCTAAAAACGCATCTTTTTTCACTGGCTTTTAATAAGTGTAACATGTACATTTCTTCTTGAGTATTTTACTGTTTTTCTCTGTTTTTTAGTAGCTGTATTTTGTTTGTACCTTATATTTTCTTCTGTGATTCTCATTGTCTGTCCTGTGTTTGTGTGCAGCACTTTGGCCGACCGTAAAGTTTTTAAAGTGCTTTATAAATAAAGTCGGTATGTTACGGTTCCAGATCTTAGGGCCGACCACAGAGAAGGTCCCGTCCCCTCTGGTTTTAAGTCTCTTCTTAGGCACCGAGAGTTGGAGCTGGACCTCGGACCTCAAAGCTGGAGGAGGTCCGGGTCGTACTGTGGGGCCAGTCCCTTCAAAGCTTTAAAAACAAACAATAACATCTTAAAATCAGTTCTAAAATTAACAAGAAGCCAGTGCAAAGACGCGAGGATTGGGGTCATGTGCTCTCTCTCTCTCTCTTTCGGTTCTTGTTAAAAGTCGCACTGCGGAGTTTTGGACGAACTGTAGTTGGTAAAGTTTGTTTTGAGTAAAGTGCGTTGCAGTCGTCCAGTCTGTTCGGACGTGGAGGGGCAGAGTTCCAGAGTTTCCAGAGTCAGAAAATGTGATTATACTGACTCACATTAGTGCAGAAAAAGTTTCCTTAATGACACAATTGTTTCACTGTTTTATTATTACCTGAACCAGGACTGAACCAGGACTAAAACAGGACTAAACCACAGACTAAACCAGGACTAAACCAGGACTGAACCAGGACTAAACCAGGACTAAACCAAGGACTGAAACCAGGACTGAACCAAGGACTGAACCAGGACTAAACCAAGACTGAACCAGGACTAAACCAAGGACTAAACCAGGACTAAACCAGGACTAAACCAAGACTGACTAAACCAGGACTAAACCAGGACTAAACCAGGACTAGGACTAAACCAGGACTAAACAGGACTAAACCAGGACTAAACCAGGACTAAAACAGGACTAAACTAGAACTGACCCAGGACTAAACCAGGAGTAAACCAGGTCTAAACCAGGACTGAAACAGAACTAAACCAGGACTGAACCAGGACTAAAATAGGACTAAACCAGGACTAAAACTGGACTAAACCAGGACTGAACCAGGACTAAAATAGGACTAGACTAGGACTAAACCAGGACTAAAACAGGACTGAACTAGGACTTAACCAGGACTAAAACAGGACTAAACCTGGACTAAACCAGGACTAAATCAGGAGGAATAAACCAGGACTAAACTAGAACTGACCCAGGACTAAACCAGGAGTAAACCAGGACTAAAACAGGACTAAACCAGGACTAAACTAGAACTGACCCAGGACTAAACCAGGACCAAAACTCCTCTGGATAAACTGAACTGAAAATAATTTGACAAATACAGCCAGAGAATGAAATTTTATTCATATAAAACACATTTCACATGTAAAAGTACGAGTAGTACTTAAAAAAACATGACACAAGTAAAAGTACAAAAGAAGTAGTCCAAGAAATTACTAGTAAAATAAGAGTAAAAAGTATTTAGTAACGTTAAAAATCTGGTTTATAATTTGAAGTGGACGTAATTCAAAGCACAAAACATTAAATGGTGCAAAAGTTATGGAATTATTACTATTGTTATGTTATAATTTTCCACCCAGGAAGCTTAAAAAATGGGCAAACTGGGGTAAAAAATGTAAAGTTTTTTAGTAAAATCTGAAATATAATGATCTTAACTCTGTTTTGGAGGAGTCGTGAACTAAAATTGTTAAAAGTCACAGATAAAAGTAAAAAGTTTGTGTCATTAAACGATCGGGTTTTGTTAGTGGGTTTAAAAACTGTGATGGTCTGATCACATTCTGTCTGAAAACACTTTAAGACTCCACAAACTCCTGAATCTGTGTGTCATTTGTACATTTGTTTTTCAAAATAAAAACAGAAATAAGAAAATGAAAAAAACTGCTATTTTCTTTATTATTTGTCTCCAAAACCAAAATGAAAAAACGATAATGGTTCGTTTTTTCAGGATAACGAACGTTTGCCGTTTACGTGACTTAAACTGTGATGCCGGACTGAACCAGGTCCAGGACCAGACCGGGACCAGACCGGAACCAGACCGGGACTGAGACCGGGACTGAGACCGGGACTGAGGCCCTGACCAGACCAGGACCAGACCGTGATTGAGACCGAGACCAGCCTGGGACGGAGAGTGAGACTGAGACTGGGACCAGACCCGGACTGAGACTGGGACCAGGACCAGGACTGAGACCAGGAATGAGACCAGGACCAGACCAGGACCAGACCAGGACCAGACCGTGATTGAGACCGGGACTGAGACTAGGACCAGACTGGGATCAGACCAGGACTGAGTCTGGGACTAGGACCAGGACTGAGGCCAGGACCAGACCGGAACTGAGACCAAGACCAGACCAGGACCAAACCAGGACTGAGACCGGGACTAAAACGGGACCGAGACCGGGACCAGACTAGGACTGAGACCTGGACTGAGGCCAGGACCAGACTGGGACTGAGACCAGGACTGAGACCAAGACCGAGACCGGGACCAGACCGGGACTGAAAACAGTTTAGTCCTGGTTCAGTCTGTATGTGGTGCAAAAGTCCAACATCGCAGTTTAAGTCACGGAAATGGGAAATAATGGAAACAATGTTATCCGGTTATTCATTTTGGTTTTGGAGACAAATAATGAAGAAAATAGATTTTTTTTTTGATGTTATGTTGAAAAACAAATGACCGAATGACACACAGGTTCTCCTAGAACATCACCTCCATGGTCTTTCTCTTCAGACCTGGTGGGACGGTTGGTTGGTCCGGTTGGTCCGGTTGGTCCGGTTGGACCTGTGCACTGTGAGTCTTGTTCCTCCTGCGCTCCAGAGCCTTGGTGATCTCTCTGAGCACAGTCTCCTTGTTGTTCTTCATGTTCTCCTGGGCGATCTTCAGCAGACGATCGATCATCTCAGGGCTGTAGCTCCTCTGAAACGTGGCGAACTCCTTCATCCTCTGGGCCCACTCGTCTGCGTCTGGACACAGCAGGAAAATCCACTTCAGCCTTTTTAGTTTCAAATCAAGAGCTGAGTTTTAGATAAAAGAGGAGTTATTTTACTTCTCTGGACCTGACATACTTACCTTTTATTGTTTGGAGAACGTTAAACCAACATATTAACATGTGTTATAACTTTCACTTTTGTTTTGGATGCTCTGAGTCCCGCCTCCCTTTGCTCCCTGTACTAAGTCACTCCCCCTTCAGAGCACTATCACAACACAATCAGTTTTGTATCATGTTTTTGTATATTTATTTAGATCTATATTATATTTATAGAGATCACTAGATTACTCAAACATGCATTGATGACATCCACAACCTCTTGAGGCAAAGAAAAATCCAAAAAGTTGATTTCATTCATTTCAATTCATCTCTTCTCATTGAAAACGTTAATTGTAACACTTGTTTTAAATTTAGAAAGTAAAATTGTGCCTAAAATTCAACATAACAGGAATAAAAAATGTTTTCTTCTTTTCAGGACAGTAAAGTGAGCAGAGCAGCTGCTGAGGCCCCAAGAGCAGATTTTATTGGAAACTATGTAAAAATGTTGCTTTGATCGCGCCTACACAAACTGAGAACAATGAAAAGAATCATAAAAAAGGAAAATCATTTTAGAATCTTAAAATATTTGTAGAGGAGGAGAATCCGTGTGTCATTCGTACGTTCGTTTTTCAATATAAAACCAAAAATAAGAAAACTAAAAAAGAACTATTTTCTTCATTATTTGTCTCCAAAACAAAAATGAAAAAACAGATAATGATTAATTTTTTCATTTTTCGATTTTGTGTTTAAAAGAAGAATGGAAAAAATGGATAACAGCTGTTTCCCCTTTACATGACTTAAACTGTGATGCTGGACTTTTGCCCCACATACGGACTGAACCAGGACTCAAACAGGACTAAAGCAGGTCCGGGACTACACCAGAAAAAAGACCGAGACTGAGACCAGGACTTAGACCGGGACCAGACCGGTACCAGGACCAGGACTTAGATGGGACTGAGACCGGGACTGAGGTTGGGACCAGACCAGGACTGAAAATGATTTTATCCTGTTTTAGTCCTGTTTTAGTCCTGTTTTAGTCCTGTTTTAGTCCTGGTTTAGTCCTGTTTTAGTCCTGTTTTGGTCTAGGCTCAGTCCTGGTTCAGTCCGGCATTGCAGTTTAAGTCACAGAAGTCGTTATCCATTTTTTCCATTATTCATTTAAACACAAAATCGAAAAATGAAAAAACGAATCATTATCTGTTTTTTTTTTGTTTTTTCCATTTTGGTTTTGTAGACAAATAATGAAGAAAATTGTTGTTGTTTTTTTTCATTTTCTTAATTTTATTTTTATTTTGAAAAAATGAATGAATGATACACGGGTTGAGGATCTCTCACCCCCCAGTCTAATGTTGGGCTACAGTTCATAAACTCTCCATTTAAAAAGACAAACCTTTGTATCTTTTTTAACAGTATTAGTTTGTACGACCATAAACAAAAACATATGTGTGCGTGTGTGTGTGTGGCAGAGGTGGGACTTGCAAGTCGTGATTTGGTCTCGAGTCAGACTTGAGTCACTATTTTTAGGACTTGAGACTTGACTTGATAAAATGGACTAAGACTTGGGACTCGACTTGGACTTGAAGGTCATTGACTTGGGACTTGATTCGGACTTAAGGTCAGTGACTTGAGAAGACTGAATTCTTTCTAGTTTCACCGTAATGATTCACACTAAGATCTTTTTAAGACATTTAAAGTAACATTTCTACAACTCTTATATACTCATAAATGCTCATATATAAATATACCATGATTTTTTATGTACAATTTATCTTAAAATTCATATAAATTGCAAAAATCTAATCTATATTTGGTGCTTTGGTTTAAAGACTTGAAATGACTTGAAGCTTAAAGCAGATGACTTGGACTTGACTTGGACTTATGGGCCAGTGACTCGAGACTCGACTAATTAGACTTGCCTGTATTTGACTTGGGACTTGACTCGGACTTGAGGTCAAAGACTTGAGACTTACTTGAGACTTGCAAAACAACGACTTGGTCCCACCTCTGGTATATGGATGATATAAAGGTTAAAAAAAAAAAGTGTTAACCACATGTTACAGTAAAACAATTGTTTGTTTTTTTTTAACTTCATGTTGCTGCATTTTGTTCAAACACAAATGAAATTCTTCCCTTTACATTTGTATTCTATTTATATTCTATTTGAAGCTGATGATACAAACAGAGTTCGTGGTGTGACTACAGCTCTGTGTCGTGTTGAGATCTGAAACATCAAAGCGAGGCCCTTGTAGCGGTGAGGCACTCTGCCCGGGGCCCCTGCAGGCTCAGGCTCGGGCCCCGGGAGTGAGTAAGTGTTTACCTTTGCAGTTGCGTCTGTTGAAGAGGGGCATGTAGACGATGGTGGGAGCCGTGTCGTTGCCCTCAAACACGTAGCAGTCTTTGGGCCAGAGCTTCTCCTCCTTCAGGACCGTGTCATCCAGCTGTGGGAAAGGCTTGCCCACCTCCGCCGCGTACGCCCGAGCCAGAGTCAACGTCTGACAACGACACCAACGACACATGAGTCAAGCGACGTTTATATGACGACGGTCTGAACAGAAGATGCAAAAGTGGTGTCGCGTCTTCACTTTTTATTCCGCCTGGCATGCATTGTGTATGCATGCCAGGCGGCTCAGTATTGACGATAGGTGACTGAACCAGGACTAAACAAGAACTAAAACAGGAATAAACCAGGACTAAACCAGGAGGAATAAACCAGGACTGAACCAGGACTAAAACAGGACTGAATCAGGTCTAAACAAGGACTGAACCAGGACTAAAACAGGACTGAACCAGGAGGGCGAAACCAGGACTAAACCAAGATTACACCAAGACTAAATCAGATCTAAACCAGGACTAAACAAGTACTAAACAGGGACTAAACAAGGTCTAAACCAGGACTGCCAGGTGACTCGGTGGTGGTGTATGTGACATACATACACGTGACCAGATCTGACCAGAGTTTTGTGTCTTGGGCAGTGTAGACGGAAACGTTACGGCGGAGTGTATTCAACTTTTCCACTCTGGAGGGTGGTTTCAAATTTTTGTGTTTTTAAACCCCCAAAACACCGTCACCGTCTAAACGAAAGGCACTTCCAATAAAATATTTTGTTGTTTTTACCCGCAAGTGTTCTCATGTAAACAAGCGGTCGTAGGAAATTGAGTGGATATAAGAGGGAAAGCCTTAGTGTTGTTCAGTTAGACTAGAGTGACCATATTTCTGTTTGTGAAAACCCCGACACCTTACCGGGGGGTGGGAGGTGGGGCCTCCACATTGAGCTACTCTCACCTCACAACCTGTGCACATGGACTCCCACTTGTCCCGACCGGAACGGAAAATAGAGAATTTCTGGTACAAGTCATTGTTAAATGCACCTTTGTGCTTCAGACTGACCGACTGTTTGTGTCTCGCCCCTTCTGAGTCACAGACGCTACGAAAGACACTCAGTTTAATGCCCCCAGTGAAAGGTAATGAAAACCCGGACATTTCCATCACTTTAAAAAAGAAAAAAACACGGACGCCCAGGACAGGACGCAAAAAACGGACTTGTCCGGGGAAAAACGGACGTTTGGTCACCCTAAGTTAGACGCCTATAAAACCTAAAACCATTATCCATTTATTAGAACACAAAGTTCAAAATAACACATTTGCAATGATAATTAATCAAATTTTACTTAATCAGCACAATATGTATAATTCAGAAATCCCTTGGCGAGCTACTTGGAAGGGGGTGGAAAGCTACTGGTAGCACCTGAGCTACAGGTTGGAGATCCCTGGTGTAGACGCTCCTCTAGCCACATCCAACGCTTCTGTGGTGCATTTCTAGTTTAGTCTACTTTACTACTGTGGAACATTCCAGAAAAAGCAATAACATCTCCATGAATGCACCAGAAAAGTAACAGAGTGCAGAGTATAGCAGATACAAAGTCTAGAAGCATTCACATTTGAGAAAACACTGGTACTCCATAAAAGTTCTTACAGGTACAGGACATAATAACAAACTGCTACCTTCTAGATAAACACACTCTCTCCCTGTCCCCAGCTGCTCACACACGTACCTCAAACATTTCCCCGGCGCTGTACTCGGGGGCGATGATCAGGTCGATGTCCCGCCTCGGCCCCAGGAACGAGGGGTACGCCGTGTTCATCAGCAGCCCCGCGTCCACCAGGTGCAGCAGCTCCGCAGACGCCAGGCAGGACGGGACAGGAACCTCTGCACAGCACAAGAACATTCAGAAGGATTTAGTTAAAGGCAAAACGATCGAGTGGGAATCAACGGTAACTGATTGAGAAACTGAGACTGTGCAGCTCTTGTTATCTTGGTTTATGCCATCAGAAATATAATACTTGCACCTCTTTTATGGGATCACAATCTTTTGGAGGCTTTCAAACGGCTCTTTTTATATTTATTTATATGACAGAAGCCAATGTGAGATCTAAACCAGGACTAAATCAGGACTGAACCAGGTCTAAACAAAGGACTAAACCAGGATTGCACCAGGTCTAAACCAGGTCTAAACCAGGATTACACCAGGACTAAACCAGGATTATGATAATTATGAGTTTTAAAGTCATAATTATGACTTTCTGTGAGGCTTTTATTTTTATTTTGTGGCGGAAATGGGCTTCCATAAACAACCCCTCACCAGCAGAGGGAGCAGCTCATCAACACTCCAAATATAAAGTTTTCAAATATTTACATTTACACATTTTTCCTACAGACAGATGATCACTAAAGGCCACAGCTCTGACTCTCTTTGAGCCACTTCTTAACACTGAATGTAAAATGTCCCAGAGTGCAACACTCCCTCACAGACAGTGTTGGGAAGGTGACTTTTAAAATGTATTCCCCTACAGATTACAGATTACATACCCCAAAATGCAGTTTGTAACGTAATCAAGTAAATTACTTAAAGTGAGTAACGTAATCTGAATACTTTGGATTACTTGATTTTCTGTAGAGAAGCAAAGACGAGGAAATCGTAACATATGATGTTTTATCTGCTAAAAGAAAATAAAAAGCCCAGACTTTACTGAACCGTATTAAAAATATTATTGATAATATTATTGATAAAAAAGGAAGAGGCACAGTCCGCACAGCATGATTTAGTCCTGTTAAATCCTGTTTTAGTCCCGTTTTAGTCCTGTTTTAGTCCTGGTTTTAGTCCTGGTTTAGACCAGGTTTAGACCTGGTTTTAATCCTGGTTTAGTCCTGGTTTTAGTCCTGGTTTAGACCTGGTTTTAACCTGGTTTAGACCTGGTTTAGACCTGGTTTAGACCTGGTTTAGACCTGGTTTAGTCCTGGTTCAATCCTGGTTCAGACCTGGTTTAGACCTCCTGGTTTTAGTCCTGGTTTTAGTCCTGGTTTAGCCCAAAATGTGAAAACAGGAATATACCGCCGTGTAATCCATTTATTTTAACAAAGTAACTGTAATCCAATTACCACTCAACTGAAACAGTAACTGTAACTAAATACAGTTACTCATAATTTGCACTCTGATTACGTAACTCCGGTACATGTAATCTGTTACTCCCCAACACTGCTCACAGACACAGGTGAGGAGTTCCTCTGCTGCTTTAACAGAGAAACAGTTTTGTCCAAACTTGGTTTCCAAACAGTTTCCTCTTGAGGCTCTGGTCCCGACTCGTGCTTCTCCACAGAATCTCACAAACACTTTTAGGGGTGGGGGGGGCGCCTCGCTGTGAGAAATCTTACACACAAGACTAAGATTGGCCAATGTTAACACTTTATATTTCTTAATAATATTACTTTCGCAGAGGCTTTGCAGAGGTCGCATTGCAGTTTTTTGCCGGTGATGTTGTGGTGGTGTTGTAAAGTTACTGTCATGGTTCATGTTTTGTAGTAGTTGTTTTGCTTATTTTGGTGCATCTTTTTCTGTGATCTTTGTGTTTTATGCTGACATTTGTCCTGTCTGCTTGCAGTTTTGAGTTTTACCGTATTTTCCAGGCTATTAGACGCGCCCTTAAGCCTCTAACCGCATCAAAAAACGACCGCGCCCCACAATCCAGAGCGCCCCATACACAAATCCACTCGGGTGTCCCAGCACGACTTCAGTAAACTACAAAGCCGCACCACCCGCAGAACACGCAAACACACACGGAGCAGACAGCGACCGCACAGCGAAAAACACCCACAGACACACGCATCACTCCACTCCGACGAGGAACGGAACGGAGGAACGAACCGAAAAAGCGAGCGCGACGTGCCGCTTCTAGACACGACTGAACAACTGAGTCACTGCGAACACGCCGACAATCCGTTGGTCCCAGACAGCACCTCCCTACACGCCACAACTGAACAAAGCCCAGAGTCACCGTGAACGAACAAACAAACAAAACCACTCACCCATCCAACTGTTGTGTTTCCTTTAATGTCCTGTGCGGTTTATTTGTGAAAAAAGTTTGAAAATAGACCATTCAATGACAGTGCGCCTTATAATTCAGAGCGCCTAAAAGCCCGGAAAATACGGGAGTCGTTGTTTTGCTTATTTTGGTGTATCTTTTTCCTTTAGTGCAGCGTGATCTTTGTGTTTTATGTTGCCATTTGTCCAGTCTGCTTGCAATTTTGAGTTTTACTTCCTGATTGTTTGCCCCGTCCTAATGTGTTACTCCTGTGTCTGTGTGTGTGTTTTTTGTTTGTCCGTTGTCAGTGTCAATGTCAATTTCTTGGTTTATTCTGGTCTTTATCTTTGTTTAGTTACAAGCATTTTGGGTCCTCCCTCCTTTTAAATCGTGACAGCTACAGTTTAAGTAATATATGAAAGTATAATTGAACGCATAAAGAGCTTGGCAGCATCTGTACTCAGCTGGTGATGAATGAATCTAAACTAAGACATATTACATTTCACAGTTTTAATAAGTAAACTTAATGAATAAATACATTTCCATCCTTTTATCTCTGCTTGCAACTCTTGGGTTACTTCAATTTATTCTACAAACATAATCTCATTTTTGGGAAATCAAAGAAGTTGTATTTCCAGGGTTGTGTATCTAAATGAAATTTGTGTGACATTTTGGAACAGATGTTGTTAAATAGCCTGTACGCAGAGCTAGACAGAGCCAAAATTGTACTGAAGTAGGAGTAATGTTGCTTCAAAATAATATTAAAACGTGTGAATGAAACAAAACACAAGTCCAGGTCTGTTTGTAATGAGGAAACAACAGTATGAAGATCAGAAAATACTTATTATGAGCTCTGTAAACCTGGTCTTAAGTAAATTTACTTTGGGATTTCATTTCATTTTATAACTTAAAATAACGCCTTATTAAAAAACAGACATCATTTCCCAGCTTCAGGGCTCAGCCGACTCTGATCTGGTGGGAATTACCACTGAGAAAACAATGAATCTAAGTAATGAGGAACGTGTCCGGACAAATGTAAGACCGCAGAAGTAATGATCAATCTGAGGACGAGTCTGGGGATGATTCAAGGACTTAAAAACTGCACAGAGCTACTATCTATGACATAACAATCCTGGGAATATTTACTGAAAACAGCGTGAATAAAGTAAAAGACAACTCCAGGTATCAGGTTTTAATGTGGGAACACGGTTAAAGATCTTATATTGTGCAAAATAGACTCTTGTCTTTTAAGTCATGTTAGAATGTTGTTACCTCCACAAAAACAGACCTGGAGTTTTTATTTTATTCACACATGTTTGAGTGACTGTTTATCAGAGGCGAGAACTTGCAAGTCGTGATTTGGACTCGAGTCAGACTTGAGTCACTATTTTTAGGACTTGAGACTTGACTTAATAAAATGGACTAAGGCTTGGGACTCGACTTGGACTTCAAGGTCAGTGACTTGAGAAGCACTTTTAAATCTGAATTCTTTCTATTCTCACTGTAATGATTCACACAATGATTTTGTCAAGACATTTAAAAGGAAAAATTAACATTTCTACAACTCTTATACGGTATACTCTATAAATATTCATATATGAATATACCATGACTTTGTAAGTACAATTTAGTTTAAAATTCATATAAAATATAAAGCTACTTTGGTTTAAAGACTTGAAATGACTTGAAGATCACAGCAGACGACTTTGGCTTGACTTGGACTTATGGGCCAGTGACTCGAGACTCGACTCGGACTTGCCTGTATTTGACTTGAGACTTGACTCGGACTTGAGGTCAAAGACTAGAGACTTACTTGAGACTTGCAAAACAAAGACTTGGTAACACCTCTGCTCTTTATTATTAGGCTACGTTCAGACTGCAGGGCTTAACGCTCAATTTGGATGTTTTTGTGAAATCCCATGTTTTTGCGAGGTCGTTCACATTTCCAATTAAATGCGACTTGTATGTGACTCCAGTGTGAACATTAAACGGCCCGAAAGTGTCCCACATGTGCACTGGAGACACGACGACGTCAACTGCAGCGAGCGTGCTCTGTGTTTACAGAAGTTGTCCAAACATGGACACGAGCATTGAGCACCTGGAGATTTTAAAGTTCCTCTCGTACCGGAGCCAGAACATGAACAACTTACTTGTTTTAAGGTAAAGATTGAGAAGGAGAAGGACGAGGTTTTTGGCCGTGGTGTTTTGTGGGACAGTCTGTTGAAAGGAACGTGTGGATGTGGAGACGTAGCCAAGAGTGGTGAGTGGTGATGTGCTTCACTTCAGTGACACGGAGTTCATTAACAATTTTCGTATGATGAGAAGAACATTTGTGTACATTTGTCGCTTGTTGATAACGTGTCGGTGGGATGAATGCGCCTTGGCCGTTCAGACTGAAGTCACATATCAAAAGATCGGATATGTATGGGTTTTAAGAGCACATATCCAAGTGGCATGAGTCGCATTTGAAAAAATCGGATCTGTGTCGTTCAGACTGTCATTAAAAGATCAGATACAGGTCACATAGGGGCCAAAAAATCGGACTGAGGTCACTTCAGGCTGCAGTCTGAACCTAGCCTAAGTCTGTCCACATCTCTAAAGCTCAAAATGCTCCATTTCACCTTATGATGTCATTAGGGCTGGCTATCATTAAAACTGCCGATATGATACATACCTCGATACAGTGAGCTTTCGATTCGATACAATATATTTCAAAACGATTTGATATGGTCCACTAAAAAATAAAGGCTAAATCATGGCTTTGTTAAACTGCTTCTTGTGCAAAGTGAATATGAAACACACCCATTTTAATCCTCAAAACTGTATATAGAGAAAAATCCTGCACACTGTCTTCGTCTTACTTGCAAAATGTGAGATTTATTAGGACATACAATGTTTCAGCACTAGGCCTTCATCAGGCAAAACATTTAGCCTGATGAAGGCCTAGTGCCGAAACATTGCATGTTGTAATGGTGCAGGATTTTTCTCTATGTTCTTGGGTTGCTCCCTCTCTTCAAGTAATTGATGTGCGAAGTTCTCACTCTTTTTAATCATCAAAACAGTGAAAATGTCGAATGTGTCGCGTAAACGAGTTTCTTTCCTTGGAACAAGCAACAAAACTGTAGTGCTGTGACAAAGTAATTTAGTAAAATTTACCAAAAAATACTCTTGGTAATATATCGATACAGCAGCCCACGATACCGATACTGTATCATCACATTAAACAATAAGATATATCGCTATATGAATATTTTTGAACACCCCTAGATGTCATGTAGTGGTAGTCTTCAATATTACAGTTACCTTTTACTTTTTGTTTAGTAGAGATTGGCAATTCTAGAGCTGATTATCCACATGATTCTAGTGAAGGTGTACGGAGTGTAAAAACACAGTGGAGCACTTTCTGTATTCCCAGATGACATCACAAGGTAGAGCAGAGTGTTTTGTGTTTGAGAGAAGTACTCAGCCTAAATCTGCAGGGTTTAAACATGTGAATGAAACAAAAAAAAACACAACTCTAGACAACATTATAACAGAGATCAGAAAATAAAGAGCAATAAAAAAGTTCTTTAAAAGCTCAAAAAGCCCCTTTAGCATAATACCCATGTATTATTATGTATGTATTTTCATCTTCATTCCACATCAGTCTTTACCGTCATACTTGTAGAGGAAGTTCTTGACCGTTCCCCATTCCCAGCGCACGACCAGGGAGATGATCTTGTCCACCAGGAATCCCACTAGAGACACACCAAAACTTTAGCGCAAACCAGTGGAACTTGGAACTCTTGGTGTTGATACTTTGCAGTGATGTCACGCTGGGGGTGTTCCACGTGTATGTCTAAATATGCATCAAGAATCTCAGCCTTCCGGTCATCGTGCAATCCATACTGGGAAGGATTCTCCGAAAAAGTGAGCATCAAACCTCCATGTTTGTTTTCCCACTGGGATGCGTCTATTGACAAAGTCAGTCTTTTCAAGTCTTTTGAACCATATCGCTTTTGTTTCTGGTTCTGATATTGTCATATTTTAGTTTTGGGATTCGGATTGTGTGGTTGTTGGATCCTAACAGCGGAAAACGGCTCAAGAAATTTGTTTGCCAACTCCATAGATGAAAAAGTGAATCAGATGTGTGTGATTGCAAACCTCCGTTTAAACTGTTTCTCTTCCCAACAGAATTGAAAAATAGTGAAAGGTGACGGCGATGGGCAGGATTGATCCACTGAAAGGACAAAAAAGGAAAACTTTGACTGCCTAAATCATCCCGAGTTTGCAGCGAACATTTTGTATGTGGAGCGTCATCAAAGCAAAATCTTGTTTGTTAATGGAGAGGTGCAGAAGACAAACAGACTGAGCTCACACTTTCTTGTTCTTGTGGTTTTACAGCAACATCACGTCTTGGTCTCTTTACAGTGGAAGGTGTTTCTTGGTGAACAGCTGGTGCCTTTCACTTTGGCGTTGACTTTTTAAATTCATAACCAAGACTGAGTGAGGGATCAGGATTTTGCTTTGATGGCGCTCCACATACAAAATGTTTACTGCAAACTCGGGATGATTTAGGCAGTCAAAGGTTTCCTTTTTCGTCCTTCCTGTGGATCAATCCTGCCCATCACCTTCACCTTTCACTATTTTTCAATTCCGTTGGGAAGTGAAATAGTTAGAATAGAGGTTTGCAGTCACACACATCTGATTCCCTTTTGCATTTATGGAGTTCGCAAACAAATTTATCAAGTCGTTTTCCACTGTTAGGATCCAACAACCACACAATTACAATGTCCGAATCCCAAAACTAAAATATGACAATATCAGAACCAGAAACAAAAGTGATATGGTTCAAAAGACTAGAAAAGATCGGCTTTGACAATAGACGCATCCCACTGGGAAATCAAACATTGATGCTCACTTTTTCGGAAAATCCTTCCCAGTATGAATTGCGCAATGACCGGAAGTCCGAGATTTTTGGTGCATGTACTGTCGAAATGTTCAGGAGTTACCATGGTGAAACAATGCACACATTAGCAAACACAGTCAACATGGATTTAAAAAACACATTAATCGAACAACAGAAAAATAATCATTAGACTAATCTTCCAAACAGTCATTAGATTATTCAAATAATCACTGAAATAATCACCTAATTACCATCTTTTATATATGTCGCACTGGACTATAAGTCGCACTTTTTGGAGGAAAATTATTTTATAAAATCAGAAACCAGGAACCGACATTTCATCTTGAAAGTCAAGTTCTAGTAATAACAACAGAACAGAGAACAACAGACTGTTAACGTCACATATGAACAGTTCTTCAGTTAAACTATAACATAAACAACAGAACAGAACAAGTTTAACAAACTCTCCATCTCACTCCAAATCACTAAATCCATTCAATTCTTCATCCTCAGTGTCACTTCTGAACAACTCCACAACCTCCGGAGGTAAACGGAGCGCCACTTCCTCTTCTGGCCTTTCTGAATCCCGACAGGATGGTTTCAGTGTCACTGAAGTTCAGGCTTTGTCCATCCATCCAGTGAATTCAGGAAAGTTTCATGGCACATCCTCCTGGTTCCATCCTCCAAACTTTCTTTCTGCTGCTCGATTACCGTTTTCGGCTGCAGATTTCACGACTTGCAGCTTGTAATCTGCAAAATTTTATTTTCTTTTTGGGGGCATTTGTGTTCAGTCTTCTCAGTCGTCTTTATAAGTTTGTTTAAATATAAATATATTTTCAGTGGTACAGAAGTAATGGTGCGATTGACTGACATGATACAGACAGGACAGAGGCTCTTTCTGCAGGAGACATGTGCAGTAGCCAAGTGACAGTGGTGCAGGAGGAACAGGAGCAGCAGATACTCACACACAAGACTAGAACCTCTCGACGCTTCAGTGTGAACATTTTAATATACAAGTCGCATAGGAGTATAAGTTACAGGAAACACCCAAACCATGAAAAAAGTGCGACTTATAGTTCGAAAAATATGATTATCATTTGAAAAATAATCGTTTACCCCCAACCCAAACTGTGTTATCAGCTGATGGACCAGAAAGTGACATCACACTTCACAGCTCCACAGGACCCTCCACCTCCTCCACTGACCCTGAGCCTTGGTGGGTCCCTCTGGCAGACTGTTGACCCAGGTCTGGATCACCGTCCCCAGCTCATAGGTCCACTGTAGGAACTGCTGCTCCCTCTGCTGCAGGGACTGCAGCTGCTCCGACTCGTCACTGTTCACTTTGTCTGGAAACAACAAGGGTTAAAAGTCAGGTGCAAGCATTATTCATTTTCATATAAATATTTTTCACTGCACTCTGAGTGAAAGTGACCAGACATCCCTATTTTCCCGGGGAC